TCTTTCCCTTTCCCATATGAGGTTATGTAGGAGCTGCCAGACACTTTTCCATGCCTCACTCCCTGGGTTAAGAGGCTCTTCTACTCCCATTATGATTTTGCAAAGCAAAACGTAAGGGAATAAATCAGGAACACATTGGAGAGAAGATACAGTTGTATTTTACTTCTCAACACATCATATGAAAGTTAAATGGTTACATTCATCCCATTTTAGGGACTACTTTTTAAATGAAAGAAGGAAACAGCTTAAGCCCAAGGACTGGAGAGAAACATTTCCAGTCAAGAAAGAATGAAAAGACCATTAAAACCATGTTTTGAAGGGGAGGGGATGGTTCTTATTATACAAATACTAGTGCTAATGCCATTTCTTCAAGTCAGAGAGTGACACTAATACTCACCTGGTAATATTAATACTTTATCACTGGAGCTCAGGGGATAGCCATCTTTATACCACGTAAGAACTGGAGGAGGAACAGCATTGGTCTCACAGTACAGTGAAAGGGGATTGTTGACAATCACATCTTTACTTTCTCCACCTCTTCCTGCATCTACTGTGTTACCAGCTTCCCACTCCTTTCGGAAACTAGGAGGAACTACAACCAAGGAGGGGGGAAAATGTTAATATTTTACAGCAAAAATAGCTACTTTTAAAGTCAAGAAATTGAAAGATACTGTGATTGTCAAAGAGCAGAAATAAAAATCAAGCTTATTAAATTAACACCTCCCTCTAGTTTAGATTAGCCAGGAAAATTCTAATTCTTTTAATTAGAATGAACAGTTGAGCAATCGATTGAATATTTTCTGAAAACGAATAAACAACAATCTAAGAAGACTTGAAATCAAACCACAGAGCGTATTAACCAACAATAACACTTAAATAGTAAGCTAGCTGGTATTACTCAAGTTCTAATTTTGTCTAAATTTTCAGAAATGACTAATGATTGTTTTCTTGTAGTTACACATGGTATGTAGGCCAAGACACTGGGCCTGCAGTGTGTGTCTGGGGCCTCTAAGTATTGCTCAATACAGATCAATAAAATACCACGCCTTAGTTTAAGCTAAATTAAAACTTCTTCATGGAGTTTAGAGGAAAATCAAAGTTACATTGTCATTCTTCTGACTTCAAAATATCTGCATATGTCACAAAATACAAAAGAAAGAATAATCAAATACTGTATTTCTTAAAGATGAGCAAAATATACATGAAATAAACCGCACAAAACCACAAAAGCATTGGATTAGACCAAGCAGCTCCAAAGGACACAAGCTGAATTCCAGCATCCCAGAACATCACAAAAGGAGACTGACAGAAGAATGTTATGATCTGAACTCTGCTAACCTTGTATATTTACATCAAATTCTACTTCATCCTCTCCAGCAATGTTGGATGCCAGACAAGTGTAGCGACCAGTGTCTGATACTTGAGCCTCCTTAACCTGCAGGGTACGGCCACCAGCTTGGATCATGACACGATCGTCAGGTTTAAGTGGCTGTAACATAATTTTACATGGAAATGAACGTTTGGCAAAACACACACTAGAAATAGCCACATTGGTGGAAATAATATGACATAATCTCTCTTTTAGTCAAACACAGGTTGTTTCAATATCCTTTCTAAGGCAGTATACTGGGAGTAAGAACATATTTTGGTGTTAGTGTTTCCTCTGCTTTGATGCCACTACGAACAGAACATCCTTCAGTTTTTGTCACTGCTTCCAGCAAGGTCCACCTTCAATCTGCGCAAAGAAAGCAGCTGCTTAGGACACCAAATTACTGAGGGTCACCTGTTGGGATAAAGACCTAAACTGGGAGCTCCTGGGATGGCAGCCTTGGCCACAGGTGGTACATCCCAGCTCTCATCTGCTCCTCCTTTCCCTCAGACCAAAAGCTTTTCCTCCCCGCATTAACTTCAGTAGCCTCCAAGTTCCTGGAGAAAGTTTTCTTTTCATGTTTGTCAGAAACTCTACATCTTCCCTTTTCTGATCTTGGTAGCTGGGCTCCTAAGAGGATGTGGGATTACATCACTCCTAACCCCACCTGCGAGTTGCCGCTGAAAGGAGCAATGCCATCTCCACCAGGCAAGGGCTATCGTCGCATCTCTGATTATATCTGGCTGATTCAATCCCTGAACTCACTGGCCAAGTAAATGAGCTGATGGAAAAACTACACACATAAAACTGCCAGTTTTCTAAGAGGTGAACAACTCGACCCAAGTCATGCCATAGCCACACAACCACTAGAATCTGCTGTCCATCAAGGACACAATATGAACATAAAATGGACGTAGCAGCACATGTTGACACACAGGATTACATGTTACTGTCCCTAGAATTTATAGAATCGCAGAATCGTCCAGACTGGAAAAGACTTTTAAGATCACATGATCAAGTGCAACCATTAATTCAGCACTGCCAAATCTACCACTAAACCACGTCCCAGCACTTCCAACTCCACCACCATGTCCCTCAAGCACCACAGCTACATGGCTTTTCAATCCCTCCAGTGGACTCCACCACTTCTCTGTGCAGCCTGGGTCAGGGCTTGACAACGCTTTCAGGGAAGAAATTTTTCCTAATCTCAAAGCTAAACTTCCCCTAGCACAATTTGAGGCCATCTCCTCTTGCCCTATTGCTTGTTCCTTGTGAGAAGACATCAGCACCCACCTTGCTAGAACCTCCTCTTGGGTAGCTGTCAAGAGCAAGAAGGTCTCCCCTGAGCCTCCTTTTCTCCAGGCTAAAGAGCCCCAGTTCCTTCAGCCTCTCCTCACAAGACTTGTGCTCTAGATCCTTCACCAGCTTCACTGTCCTTCTTTGGACACACTCCAGCACCTCAATATCCATCTTGGAGTGAGGGGCCCAAAACTGAATGCAATATCTGAGGTGTGGCCTCACCAGTGCTGAGTACAGAGGGACGATCCCTGCACTGGTCCCGCTGTGCACATATGGCAGTAGAGACTACACTAATACAACCTGTATCTCTCAATAACAAAAACAGTACACATCTCTGGGAGTCAACACCCAACTCCTGGCCCACAGGGCCATTAATTTAGTCATAAATGTGAGTGAAAGCCATTTGCCCCAGGGTAACCTAAGAAAAAGCTGCTGGATGGATTAATTGCAATGACTGTGGCAGCAAGATGCTTACAGCCGCTGTCCTCTGGGGACCTCTCAACTTCCCCCAAGATTGTTTTTCATTGGCAACACAATCAGGAGATCCTAGAATTACAGTACATGCTTGGAACAGATGGGGAGTGTACACACAGTCTCTCCTGTGACTTCAGGCTGTTTCTGCACGGAAGGGCTGGTCCAGCTGCAGAGGTGTAGCAGTTTGCCACATGACAATTGCCCTACCAAGAACAGCTGAAGCAAGAGATTTTCTTTTCTTAAAGAAGATTTGCACAGTTTCTTCTTTAGTTACAGCCAGCCCCCTGGAGACTGCACATCAACACAGTTCTGTGGCATCGCCCTTCCAAGCTGCCTCTCCTCCAGAGCTCTGTTGTTGTGGAGGCTGCATGTGGCAGGAACCACACCTCGTTCCCCCTTGCAGAGCATCCAGATGCTTCTGTGGCTTTGTGAGCTCTGCCAGAACCAAGCGGGAGGCTCTCTGCAACTTCTGCAAGGGCAGCACTTAGAGGAACCAAGCATGGGGCCTTTGGGGACTTTACACAACAGCAAAGGGACATGTGGTCATACCATGGGATGCTACTGCCAGGCAGGGCCCTCCCCCTCAAAAGCATGGGCCAGTGGTAGGCCCTGGAAACTCCAGCGCTGATGGCTCGGTTGCATTGCCAAGCACCCACAAAAAAGGAAGGGTGTCAATTTGCAGAGGTTTGGCCAACAGCAAACATCCTGAGATGCACAAAGGGTGATCCTGCCAGCAGGACAATGGGAAGATGGCTTCCTG